TTCACAAACCCCTGCAAACAGTCATCTGAAACTTGGCAGACTTAATATTTACCATGTCTCTAGACTAGAGATGGGCATGAATTTAGAAATGAATTAAATTTTCATTAAAAATTGCTAATCCGTTGATTCATATTCCTATTCCTTCTTGATGAATATGAACGAACAATTTTTGAGTAATTTTTGATTCATTCATTAACTGGGCTATAAAATGCCCCCCTGCACCTAGGGATACTAAAATCACAGAGAAACTTCCTCCAATTCTTCTCTACAATCCCTCCAAATTTGGTGAAGATTGGGTTCCCACAAGCCACATGCTAAAGGGCCCTGAGCTTTTGGTGGTTCTAGGTGCCTGGAAAACTATTTTATAGGATTTTAAAAGCAAAACAACTCAATGAATTAATGCTTTGATTTGACAGAAAAAAATGTACATTTGTTATTCATATTCATCAAACTTGATGAATCATAAATCAAAATAAATTGCCATTTTTCCAACATATGCTGCAAGGATGGGTCCTTGCAGGATATGTTATTTTACTGTATCTTGTATAAGGATATCTGCCTGTTTTATCTGAACACTTTCCTTTCCTTCCATTCTGGATGACCTGAGAAAAATTCGACACCTCCTAGGTGGCACTATTAAGGAACCTACCCTGACAACAGCCAGATACATCTACCCCATCATGTAGAGGCGACACAGTGTGTTGTCCCAGAATGCCAAATCCTAACTAGGTTACTTGGCTGTTCCCTGCCACATGTTAGCTGTTGAATGTTTTATTTGCATCTTTGTTGTTGTCGTTTAGTCATGTCCGACTCTTCGTGACCCCATGGACCAGAGCACGCCAGGTCCTCCTATCTTCCACTGCCTCCCGTAGTTGTGTCCTTAATTTATTGAAAGAAAGAAAACAAAGTAAGAAAAGCATATTTGCATCTTAGTGTGTTTTAATTTTGTACAGTATGCCAATAAAGGTTTCTGTCTGACTGACATTTTAAAATCTTTTGAACAATGCATCATTATTTAAGAATACACCCTTAAAACATCTTCACTGGAAGCCAAGCTGTTCTGAAAGGTCTTGGCCTGAACATCAACGTTTTTTTTAGAGTCAACAGGACAACAACAGCAAACTCAGTCTGACTTCCTTTGCTAGGGAACAGCCACTGGGAACTAATTTCTGTCTTATTTCCTGTCTAGGAATACCTGTGAGGGTGGTGAGACAGAGAAGAAGGCTTGCCCCACAAAGAAACAACATGCTTGCAAGACGCAAACTCAAACATTCTTGTGGCCACTGAAGCAACAGCAACCACTTCTTCTATGGGAGAGAAATATAGCTGACAAGATGCTTTGGACAAAAAAAGGACTGAACTGAGATTCCCCCCTACCTCCAGTCTGCAGATTTTATAACTTGTGCAATATAAAACACCATTGCCTAAGACACACAGAGACATGGACACCTTCTTCTAAACACTGGACTAAGCAAATAATCCAGGTTTTATCTCATATAAAGCAATTTCTTGCCAAATACCATGAAGAATTTCTTGTCAAATACTATTTGTAGCCAAGTAAAATATATTCTATTCTATTCTATTCTATTCTATTCTATTCTATTCTATTCTATTCTATTCTATTCTGTTCTATTCTATTCTATTCTATTACATTACATTACATTATATATGCATTGTAGGATTGTAGGATTGGATGACCTCTAAATTCCTTCCAATTATATCCTGGTACGATTATAAACTATGGATCAAAGAGAAACCAGATATTAGACCTCTGAATGAACCTTGGTTTGCTGGGAAGAACATTTAATCATAGCTGTGCTATCACTAATAATAATAGCAGTTGTGGCTAAGAGAGAAACACAAAAACTGATGAGCCAGCCATTGGTCCTTAATTTATTGAAAGAAAGAAAACAAAGTAAGAAAAGCATATGCAGTGTTGTTCAGCCTATTAAATCCGGTCCATAGGGATAGATGATCTGAGGATATTTCAATTGCCTGACATGGTAAACACACACACATACACATACACATACACACACCACACAAACAATACCACCACTTCCGTACATGTGATCATCGAAGAGTTTCTGAGACGGACGTTCTTTGAAGTTAATTGCTTTTGTAAAGATGTAGATCTGAGACGTTATGCCAGCGGTGATGAGATCTCCTGGCTGATAATACTTGTGAAGAATAGGAAGAGGGTCTGTGATGGGACAGTTCGTAGCTGGAATCTTGCAGACAATCGGAGGGAAAAGCACTAACACCAGTATCACAAAGAGTTCCATCTTGCATGAAAATCTTCACCCTAGACCAGCTGGCCACTCACAGAGGGCTACTCAAATGAGAAAAGAGTGCCTTAGCTTAATCTGAGCGCATTCATTCAAGGGCCGTACTATTTGAATTCAGAATCATAAATGATAAGATTATCAGTAGCATGGATCATAGAATCCAATCTGTCTCTAGCCTCAGCTTTGAATGGCAGGAGGGATATTAATAGCATCTTTCACTCTTGGCTCCCAGATGTGTCAGCAACCACTGGAGCTCCCTAGGACCTGCAGCCAAACAGACATAATCATGGCTGATTTGATAATTACATAGAAGAGAATCTGCAGCAGGTTCTTTGTGACAAAGGAGAAGAAAACATGTTTGTTAGGAATTCAGAAAACATGGATGGGAGAAGCTGCATTGCTAGAACTCACATAACACTTTGGACAGTTTCTGAAATGAATCTGTAAATCCCAGATTAAAAGGCCATTTATGAGAGGATAATCCAGTTTAGTTTGTTATGCATTTCCGAAGGCTGCCGGATATCACTGGAGAAAGGAGACTTGGAAAGGAAGGGTTCAGTTTCTCCCTAAAAGGAAGCTCAATAAGCACTACGCATCCACTTATTTTGATTATCATTTATCACTGCTACAGAGACTTGCAATATTGAGATTAGGATTGTGATGCCCAGGGCCCCCTAAGGAGTGCCTAGCATTCGGTCAGAGAGTTCGAGAGGCCACTTACTACCACCTTTGCGCTGGGGCAAGTCCCAAGACCTCAGCAATGCATAGCATAAGCCCTTTGAACAAGTCTGACCTTAAAAGAACACTTTACTTTTACCCAGTACTTTGGAAGTACAGACACATCGGCTTTGCAATTCCTTAGAACTCACAACAGCTCAGTTAGGTAGGACTTAATTTGTGGCCCTCTCCACCTTCTGGATTTAGTCAGACTCTGCTATTCAAGAGACCAGTTCTTTGTAAGGATTTTTATAATTATTTTTATTAGAAAAATAGATTTTCATAGAATCAGTTTATATTGCACAAGCTTTAGTATAAATAACATTCAAAGATCATTACAGTTAAATAAAATAATCTCATTAAAACAATAAACATTACTAAGGTTGACTAAGGTGGGCTACAGTGGGCTAGCCCCACCTCCTTCTTTCTCTGTACTTACATCTTCTCTCAATCAAGTTCCTTTTTCTCCCATCATCATGGAATTGAATCCCAGAACAAGACTGGATCTCCTTTCCTCTCACATAACCCATCGTCCATTTTCTACACTCTCTAGCTCCTCCTTTCTTCTTTACAATTCTGGCTGTTAACCAATTAGCCTCAAGGGGCTGTAATACCTTCCTCCTCCCTTAATTCCCATGAGAGTCCAACTGTTTTATCTCTTCTCCAATTAGCTCGGAATGTTGAGTCTTCCACGGACCTCTTGATTCGACCTTCAGCTCTAACTTGAACCATGCTGTAATGGTCTTCAGAAAAACATTCTCAAAGCACTTAGAAAAACACATTCCAATGTCTCTCAAATCATCTTCACATAGAACCTGCCTGACTCCATCTTACATTTCTCTGACTACATATCCCATCATCATGACAAGGATAATTTCCCATTGGTTAATCTGCGAAGGGCAGTCTAGCTCTTTATTCCACCCACTTCTGGCATTAAAAACACCTCATTTAGTCTTCCCAAATTTTGGAAATGCTCCCCATTCTGCTGATCAAAGCCCTTCTACCACCATATATATATTCCATTGCATTCTCTCCATCAAATCATACATGCTTGGCCGCTGGATGTTTCTGGAATGTGTCCTCAGTGGGATAAACATTGTGATGTTTTTAGAAACCTGGAATTATATATATATATTTAAATGATAGCATTGCACATAGTTTTAGTGAAAGGAGAATGTGGAACAGTAGATAGCTCCTCTCTGACTGATATATATCACCACCAAATCACAAATGTCTTTGTAAGTGCCTAATTAGTGTTAATTTGTTCCATAAAACCTCTAAACAGTATTACTAGAATCACAGAACTGTTTTTCATAGAAATATTATATTGTAAAGTCTATCTAGTCACCACAAGTTTCTATGAGAGAGAGGGTCTAAACTGGGATGTGATTAAAAAAAGGGTTTTATGCTCAGTGTTGTATTACTCCTTTTTGCTTTTATAAAAAAGGTAGATAATTTTAATTCATACGATATGCTCCCAGATCCTTTTACATTCAATGTCTCTCTGTACGTGTCTGGTTTCTTTCTTTCTTTCTTCTTCTTCTTCTTTTTACTAATCTCCTTTAATTTCATTTTTGGTTGGAGGAAGGTGAAATGCAAATTTAGAAGTGGGGAAAACCATATTCATTTGTCTATTAAAAAGGTAAAGGTTCCCCTTGACATTTTTAGTCCAGTCGTGTCCGACTCCGGGGGCGGTGCTCATCCCATTTTCAAGCTGTAGAGCTAGCGCTTGTCTGAAGACAGTTTCTGTTGCCACATGGCCAGCGTGACTAGGGAACACCATTTTACCTTCCCACCGAGGTGGTACCTATTTATCTACTCGCATTTGCATGCTTTCAAACTGCTAGGTTGGCAAGGAGCTGGGACAAAGCGACGGGAGTTCACTGCGTTGCGTGGATTCAATCTTACGATTCTGGACTCCGTTGCGTGGATTCAATCTTACGATTCTGACCCTGCAGCATAGGCTTCTGCATTAAATTTCCTATATACAATGTATTAATTAATATGACTATTCAGATGTGGTTGAGTCTGTCTTCTTTGATTCTGTCTCCTAATCAGCTGTACCCTATTGTTCAGCTCAGGCCTCACCACAATTATAAAGCATTTGGGGAAAAAGATGAAGCCAAGTAACCCACCACTGGAAGCTAAGATGGAGAAGATCTCCACAGCCACCATGTATTTCCCTTTGGTACTCAAATACGTTGGAAGGAAACACGACCAAACAGTGCAGAAAACCAACATGCTAAAGGCAATAAATTTGGCTTCATTGAAGCTGTCTGGTAATTTTCTTGCTAAGAAAGCCACAATGAAACTAACAAGAGCTAGGGAACCCATAAAGCCCAGCACACTGTAAAACATCCTGGCTGAACCTTCATTACATAACAACACGATCTCTTTAGTCATGGAGTGCATATCGAAATCTGGGAATGGGGGAGAGGTTGTGAGCCATACAGTGCAAATGGTGGCTTGAATCAGGCAGCAGAACAGAACAATGGAGGGGGCCAGCCATTTCCCTAGCCATTTCCTCACTCTGGATCCTGGTCTGGTGGCCAGGAAAGCCAGAACTACTATGATTGTTTTGGCCAATATACAAGACACTGCCACTGAGAAGATGAGGCTGAATGTAACTTGTCGAAACATGCATGACACCTTTTCAGGTCGGCCAATGAATAGGAAAGCACAAAGGAAGGAGAAGAGGAGTCCCGTGAGAAGAGTGTAAGTGAGGTTCCGGTTGCTGGCCCTGACGATGGGTGTGTCCCTGTGCTTGATGAAGATTCCCAGCACCATAACAGTGATGTAGGAGAAAAGAAGAGTAAGTGTAGCAAGACTGATACCCAATGGTTCTTTGTAAGACAGGAAGCTGATCTCTTTTGGAATGCACATATTCTGATCATTGTTTGGATGCTGGTCTTCTTTACACTGAAAGCAGTCATTCATGTCTGGAAAAGAAAGAAATTAAACCAGAATAACAAAAGCATATAAACTCCAAAGCAATGGTTCCCTACGTTGGGTAGCCTAGGTGTTCTTGGACTTCAGCTCCCAGAAGGCTTCAGCACCAACTGTGCTGACTAGGGTTTCTGGGAGTTGCAGTCCCAGAACACCTGAGTTATTCGAAGTTGGGAACCACTGCTCTAAATGAATATCAAAGAAATAGTATTATCCTAATATGGATTAAGGTAACAACATTGTAAGTATATGTTCTTTTGAAATTAACGTAGGCTAAAATCAGAACAGCAGCCTCTTCTATGTAAGGAAGGTGCTATCCTGGATGGATGAATCAGCTTATGTCTACCAAGGAAGCTTTTTGGTGACTCACTGTAATCCACAATGATTAGAGGTGGGCACAAACATCAGGTTCAGCAGTTTGTGCCAGTTTATCATCCAAACATACGTTTGGTGCTTCTCAGCCGTGCCTCCTCTGGCAGCTGTCCACTCAGAGGCAGCAACCCAGCTTCCCAGCCCCGCCTCCTCTTGAGTGGGTGTCTGCTGGAGGAGGTGGGGCTGGGGAATGCTGAACACTTGTTTGGCTGATAAATGAATTGGTACGAAACACCGAACCTGGAGGTTCATGACCATTTCTAATAATGAACCAAGAATAATAATTTGAATTCTTTTTTTTAACACCAGAAAGGGCCATTTCCCGAAAAAAAAAAAAAAAAAAAAAAGAATACAGAATATATTTAATATTCCAAAATTCTGTCATCCACCGAATGCTTCCACTTTTTAAAAAACCCTCATGCAGTTACAAGGTGTTTAAAAACATTCATAGCTGTATAAGATGATTTTAAAACATGAGAGGTTCAAAGTGATTCAGAAACAGTTTGAAACGGAAAATTAGGATATGCAAATATTAAAATCGTTGCATTAAAACCTGTGTAGGCCATCATCCTCAACTCCCAAAGCTCTAAGAAATATGTTTTCGTTGGCACTGAAATGATTCCAATTGAACCCCCAAGGGGAGGGCATTCCACAGAATGCAGTAATGTAGAAAGACACAAAAATGAGCTTTCCAAACACAAAAAATCTCTGCCACCAATCTAAGAAATCTTGCCCTTTCAAAGAGAGTGCAAGATATTTTAGACTATCCAGTGGCAGGAGAGGAAGCAAACAAACATGGCGAGGTTCCTAAAAATACTTCTTGTTATATACTATTATATATATACTGAGGGACGTGATGGCACTGCGGGTTAAACCTCAGAAGCCTCTGTGCTGCAAGGTCAGAAGACCAAGTAGTCGTAAGATCAAATCCACACGACAGAGTTCCCGTTGCTTTTCCCAGCTCCTGCCAGCCTAGCAGTTCTAAAGCATGCAAATGCAAGTAGATAAATAGGTACCACCTTGGTGGGGAGGTAACAGCATTCCGTGTCTAGTCGCGCTGGCCAGGTGACCACAGAAACTGTCTATGGACAAATGGTGGCTCTACGGCTTGGAGATGGGGATGACCACCGTGCCCTAGAGTCGGACACAACTGGACTAAATGTCAAGGGGAACCTTTATCTTATATACTATAGGCCAAAGGTCTATGGTCATTTTCACATTTGTCAGTTGAGACAAAAGTGAATGATTTGGGCCTTCGATTGTATGGGCAATGTCGTGATGAATAATTCGTCATTAAACGGTGCGCTCGTTAAGCGAGGCACCACTGTAATGCTATGAATACAGTACAGCAAACGCTGGAATCCAACAGGGTGGGTCTACTGACAGGCTGCTTTCATGGGAGCAACGGGGAGCAATTTGTTTTCCTCCTTGCAGCCTTCCATTCGCCCCACAAAACTTATTCCAATGGAATGAGGAAAATTCAAGATCCCACTCTTCAATGATTTTGAGGACAGTAGAGAGAGGTGGAAGATTGACCCGCTTGAATCTGAACACCATAGCCACAAAAAATAGGGAAATGTTTCCATGCAGCCTAAAAAGATGTACCTGGTTGAAGACGTTGGGCCAAGTGATATCACTGGTAAAAATGGTGAACATCTCGTCTGGAGGAGCCGCAGGATCCAACTTTCCAACTTTGACTCTGAAGAATGACTGATTTGGGAACGTGACCCAGTTCATGATATCAAAGCCGGCTTCTAAAGCCCCATTCTGGTCAAACTTGAGCAGTTCCCCAGCAGTGTTGTTAAAGGAGATACTTCTTATATAGGTGTGAAGCTATATTATGGTGTAAGAAGGGGATTATTATGGTTATAAAACAACATGCAAATGTATGAGAAAGAAAGAAATTGGGAGAGAGAATTTTGAAACTATTGGGTATTGATATCAAAGCCGGCTTCTAAAGCCCCATTCTGGTCAAACTTGAGCAGTTCCCCAGCAGTGTTGTTAAAGGAGATACTTCTTATATAGGTGTGAAGCTATATTATGGTGTAAGAAGGGGATTATTATGGTTATAAAACAACATGCAAATGTATGAGAAAGAAAGAAATTGGGAGAGAGAATTTTGAAACTATTGGGTATTGTATTAATGACTTGGATGAGGCAGTGCAGGGAATGCTTGTCAAATTTGCAGATGATTCCAAATTGGGGGGAATAGCCAATTCCCTAGCCTAGAAGACAGAAACAAAATTCAAAATGGCCTTGATATTTGTTTGTTTGTTTGTTTGTTTGTTTGTTTGTTTGTTTGTTTCTTTGTTTCTTTCTTTCTTTCTTTCTTTATTTATTTATTTATTGGTAACAATTTGAGATCCCATGTGATGAACTGCAACAGACAAATGCCCCTCCCTCCATGAAACCTGATTCCTTTTATTTATTTGTTTGTTTGTTTGTTTATTAGATTTTTACCCCGCCCCTCTAGACCATGTCTACTCAGGGGCAGCTTACAAAATAAAACGAATCAGTATAAATATATATATATAATCACAAAAATTACAATTGCAGTTTCAATTAGGATCGAGCACTGGGCCGAAAGCAACAGAATGAAATTCAACAATGATAAGTGCAAAGTACTGCACCTTGGAAAAAGAAAGCAATTGCACAGTTACAAGATCGGGGGATACTTGGCTCAGCAAAACTATGAGCAAGAAGGATTTTGGAACTGTAGATCCCAAGTTAAATATGGGCCAACAGTGTGATGTGGCTGCAAAAAAAGGCAAATGCTATTTTAGGCTGCATTAATCATAGAATCATAGAAAAGTGAAGTTGAAAGGAGCATACAAGGCCATTAATAGAAGTATAGTTTCCTAATTCCGTGAGCTGCTAGTCCCCCTCTATTCAGCACTGGTTAGGCCTCGCCTTGTGTATTGTGTCCAGTTCTGGACACCACACTTCAAGAAGGATGCTAACAAATTGGAACAAGTTCAGAGGAGGGTCACAAGGATGATCAGGGGGCTGAAAATAAAGCCATATCAGGAAAGGCTGAATGAATTGGGCATGGTTAGCCTTGAGAAAAGAAGACTGAGGGGTGATATGATAGCACTTTGAATGTCATACAGAGGAGGGGCAAGATCTGTTCTCGATCATCCCAGAGTGCAGGACACACAACAATGGGCTCAAGTTAAAGGATTCTGGTTGAATATCAGGAAAAACTTCCTAACTGTTAGAGCAGTACAACAGTGGAGCCAGTGACCTTGGGGGGGGGCATTCAAAATCACTGGAGGCATTCAAGAAAAACTTAGATAAGCACCTGGCAGATATGCTTTGATTGTATTCCTGCCTTGAGCAGGGGGTTGGACTTGATGGCCTTGTCAGCCCCTTCCAACTTCCCTTTTCTGTGATTCTATGACATAAGCAAGAGCTGAGTGAACATGGTTGAAGAAGAAGGCTACAATGTTCAAATGAAACATTTAGACAATGGAACTCTACATTACTTGCCACGGCTGTTGATCCAAAAGCACCCATCTCTGGCCATCCGCCTTTCCTCTGGGTTTGAATGCGGCTGAATGTGCGGCTCGCAAAGCATGTGCCACTGCATAGACAGCGTTGTAGACAGCATAGCTTTGGCTGTTCATGGTCATTTCAAAAAGAGACGTAGGAAGATCTTCCAGCTTCTCCTCTCCACTGCAGATCATCTCAGTCTCCTCCCTTTTGTGAGCCTTAGGGAACGAACATTCAAATGCCTGTTCCCAAAAGACTTGGAAAAAGCCGTCTTCCTTTTCTGAAACAGGGTTTCGCATCTGGACAAATTTCTGGAACCCTGGCACCTCCTTTGAGGAAACGGCAAACAATATCGCACCATGGATGAAATCCGTAGACCAGTCCTTTTGAAAGGGAACTGACGTGAACTCCATTCGAGCTACCATAATCCATATTTTACCATTTGTCTTTATTGATACGTGCCAAAATTCTTGAATGAGGGGAAACATCCTCAAAAGCGCCATAATTTGGTTTTCCCCATGCACTATCACAGCCCTGGCGGTGCTTCCCATGACAATCGTAAAGAATCCGATCCATTCAGTCACCATATCCTCAATGTTGCTGGAAAATTTTTCATTAGGTATCTGTTGTATGAAATCAAAGCAGATCCCTTTCTGAGCAAAGGTGGGGAGCACATTGTGCACAAACCTCTCTCCAATGCCATTGGGCATAACCATCACCCCAACCCACGTCCACTTGAAATGCAGCAGCAGCTGAAGAATGCCCATATTTTGAGGAAGCTCGTTGGGGAACATTTGGTGAAAGAAAAGATCTTGCTTGCTGTTTCTTAGAGGTACAGATCCATATATGAGCTGTGGAAAAGAATGAGATTTAAAAGATAATGGAAGGTGGGAGGAGATGGCTTTTCAATAGATGATTAGATTTGGCATCCTTCAGTCTTGAGAGACTACGATAACGTGCTCTGAATGGAGGACTTGGAACAGCATCTAGTGTGGCTGAGAAGGTCAATTCGAGAGTGATGATCCCTTCCACGCTAAAGACAAATGCAATCTGTCCCCTGTCCACCTCCCTGATTTTGCTGCTTTCATGACTATCTCTTTGCCTCGGCCTGCTGGACAAGGGTCTCTTCAAATTGGGAGAGGCCGTGATGTAACAACAACAACAAAAAGGAAATACTATTTAGCCTGCATTAATGGAAGCACAGTCTCCAAGCCCCATAAAATATTAGTCCCCTTTTACTTGGCATTGATTAGCCCTCCTCTTGACTACTCTGTCCATTTCTGGACCCTTCATTTTAAGAAGGATGTTGAAAAAACTGGGACTGTTCAGAAGAGAGCAACAAGGATGACTAGAAACCAAACCCTAGGAGGAAAGACTGAGAGAACTGGGCATGTTCAGGCTTGGGAAAAGAAGACTGGGAGAAGATAGGATAGCACTTTTCAAATCCTTGAAAGTTAGTCCTACAGAGAATGGGCAGGATCTGTTCTTGATCATTCCAGAGTGCAGGACACGTAATAATGGGCTGAAGCTACAAGAAGCCTGATTTAGGCTGAATATCAGAAAAAACTTCTTAACTATTAGAGCAGTTTGACAGTGGAACCAATTAAAAGCTTTCTGCCTTTATGTCCTCCCCCCCCCACTTTCCTAACTTTGCCCCCACTGTTGTTTAATCTCCAACCCTACTGATGCTGAGCAGAGTGTCTCAGGAAAATATTCTTTCACCTAGTATCAGTGCGACTTTTCTGTAAGTCAGGGAGGCCAGAATGTTGTACAGGAAGCACTATAGCAGATGTTGTGAGTGTTCCATTACCCTCTGTGTTTAACTTCTCTATAACAGCTGTTGATGATACCAAGACAACTACAAGTGCAATAAGAATGCCCTTTAGGGGGGAAAAAAAAAAAGCAAATCTCAAAGCAAATATAGCATGGAGCCCAGAATCATGTTGCTTATGGACACTGATGTAAGTCAAAGATGCAAATTGCTGAGCTGAATATGCACTAGTTAGGAAGTTGATGCTTCTACTTTTCGTTGAGCACAAAAATCACATGCTTGTTGTGGAACTAGCAACACAAGTCTTGATGTCTTGATCAGCAGCTATTTGCCATAGGCGTTCAGGCCATTTGACCATGTGTTGTATCACATTGATACTTCTGCTTTCCCCCCATGGATTCTATGGTCCTACTACACTCAGAACTGGTTTCCCATTTTTTTTTCTGGAAGGTACACTGGGACTGTGCAGCTTTCCCATGTTTACACAGGCTGGGTCTACTTGCCAAATACACAGTGGAGAATTGAACTCCCAAATTCCACCTCCACAGACAGATACCTAACTCACTGAGCTATCCAGCCACCGAACGAAAAATTGCATTAAAATAATAGTTACAGCCTTCAAGCAGATTCTGATTCACGGAAACCCTCTCAGATTTTTCTAGGCATTACATACTGAACCTTGAGTTATATCAGTTACTGTACATAGTAGTTGTTTAGTTGTTTAGTCGTGTCCGACTCTTCGTGATCCCATGGACCAGAGCATGCCAGACCCTCCTATCTTCCACTAAAACCAAGTGAAGTATGACTAGCTCATTGAACCCCATAAGCGGTGAGTACATCTTACTTGTGGAATCTTGTAAAGGTGAAGAATGTTGGTCATATGACGACAGAAGATGGAGGCAGGTCCCGCAATAACAGAAACTGCATTCACTTGGGTATCACATTTGTAGTTGGGGATGAATCTGTCCTGCATGGAAAGCAGCTCCAATGAAGCGAAATAGGTCCATCTTGCCGAGAAGTAGCTGTTAGAGATATGGATGCCCAAGGTGATGTTAGGTAACACCTGAGGATTTCCATTGATTTCATTCACAGCAAACACCAAGGCCAAGATGTTCTGGTAGTGCTGCATGAAAACGCTACAAGAAGAGTTGGGTGGGTCATGTGTCATATCCCTTTATTTCGGGTTATATTATAAAATCTTATGTTTTCAGTTCACATTGGTTTCCTGGTTACATTGTGCAACAGCTTATTTACACAGTGCATGAACCCAACAAAGAAGCACACTTGTCATTTCAACTTATCTATACTGCTAGACCACTCTGGGTGGTTTACAACATAATTATGAAACAATGACAGTGAGCTGGTTACTCATTTTACCACCTTGGAAGGATGGAAGACTGAATGAACCTTGAGCTGGCTACCTGAATCCATAGGGATTGAATTCAGGCCATGAGCAGGGCATTGACATATACCGCTAGACTTCCAGACTTATCAAATATGAGTCAGACAATGCTAATTTGGGAGTATTCAGATGCCCATTGTTTTAGTACACATTTAAACACTGATTTTTATATGGACTTTAATGAATAATATTTAATCTGTCTTATGGCTGTCTGCTAGGTAAATGCAAATGAAATTAATTTACTGACTTACAACAGAAACCAAGCACGAATATAAATTAGCTCTATCAGATATATTCTCCCCATTGAAGGGATATTGAAATTGGGTTAAAGAAATTTAAAATAACTGAATTTCAGACCAAGGAGAAGAAAATGTAGCCTCATTTCTAAATAAGAAGAAAAAAAGGTCTGAATGTAGATTTAGTCTTCATAGGCAAATGACAACTGAAGATGTGTCTTACATGAAAGGTCAGCACGGATGGGCAGCAAACTACTTTCCAAATGAAAAATCCAAGTGCCATCAATAAATAAACACCTTTGAAGCAAGATCTATTGCCAATAGGAATATCAGACTGTGCAATTAGAGGCAGAGCACGGACGTAACTAACTGCAAGTCTCTCCCGGCTGAAATAAAGTTGTAGGCAATCCATCCAAGAGAAGATTATGCTTGTTCTGACATAGTGCATGGCTAAGAGTAGTAATTTCTTACATGGATTCATCAATCACTTCCTCTGACGGGTGTCTTCGGAAAGTTATGTCAGACATCACGTACAACTGAGAAATAATGCCAGCAATCATCAGGTCTCCAGGATGATGATATTTGTACTTAATAGGATGGAGCTTTCCAACAGGGCATCTGGCATCGGAAGTGGTAGATCTCACTCGAGTCAGCATCTGTAGTATTAGCACCACCTTTAAAAAAAAGTGCCGGCTTGTGTAAATATCTAGTCGGCCCCAGTTCATTCTTCCAACAGTACCAGTGAAATTTCTTCTGGTAGGATTGCTTTTCAGGCATGGATACTCCTCTGATTATAAGCTAGAACTATGCAGTAAATTCAGTGACACAGATGGAACTGTCCTTGAGTCTAGCTCTGGCCATGAAAGATACAAGGAGTATTAATAGCTTCTAACTGTCTTTGTTTATAGTTTTATGTTCACTTGTGTCATTGTTTTGCTATTTTGACTTGAAATACTTAGGGACATAAGGAGTGAACTAGTGACCATTTTTTTGCGTAATTACAGGGCAGATAACAACTGATTTAATAGTGCCATCTCTGCGATATTATAGGGGGTGAAACAACAATTCACAGGTGGATCCAGGTTTAGCAAAACTCTGAGATAACACAGTGACAGCTGTTGCATTGATGGTAACAATAGCAAATAGGTTCCATTTGTTTCAGTGGATATACGTTAAGTATTAAAAACCTGAATGAAACTTGATGAATCATTTCAATGGTATCTTAAGCCATCTGCAAGATGAAGTCAGCAGAACTTCTTAAATAATTATTGCTGCATGAGAGAGTAGCAATGATCTTGTGCTGGCAGACCAAATCAACACTCTACAAGGCAATTATAAAAACGGGGTCAGCCCAAAATATATATATCTATTGTGTCTAAAGACATTGCTGGACACAGAAATGTGTTTTTAAGCCATGTACTCCTTAGACTTCAATATATATAACTTTTAAAGTAAGCTTCAGATTATTACCAATTTTGGCACAGATGTAACAGATGGTATGCTCTTACTTGGTTCTAAACATGGGCAAGCTTGGGAAAAGGGTTTTCAAGTTATGATTTTTAAACATGAAACTTACTATCCTGTTCAGAAATAGTGACCCTAAAAATCCCCAGATTTCAAATAGCTCATGTTAATTCAAAAGATCAATCTTTATTACCTTGAGAGGGAATGTTTGGGCCCACCCACAATTTCTTTTACTTTGGAAAGAATCCATGCTGCAGCAGCTGTAACACTGATCCTCAAAAGAGCCCTTTTGTACAAGTGAGTAAAATCCAGAGGCAATGGGGAAGTGTAAAGATGAGAAAATTCAGGGGACTACAAAAGTAAAGACACCACTGGACACAGAAATGTGTTTTAAGCCATGTGTAGCGTTCTCCATTTATTAGATCTATGGTTCATGAATATTATGTAATGGTTCATGTTTGTTATGTAATGGAATGGTTAATGCATATTAATATTGCTTAGAGGCGGAGCCGAGAGAGATGCTTTAAGAGGCGGAGTCAGAGAGCCAAGGGGTAGATTGAGTCAGTAAGAGAAATGTAATAGTCAGGCAAGAGAAAAAAGCCAGACAAATAGAGTGTGGAGTTTGGGAAATTCTGAGGAGCTACTGAAGATATTAATGAATCTCTGTAATCAATAAACCAAAGTTTTATTTAAAAGAACTTGAAGTGTGGACCTGAAGTTTTGTGAAGTAATGGTGATTTAGAGATCACCTGGTGGCAGCAAGTGTAAAAGAAGAGAGTGTTTGCCTTCGTGCGCTCTGAGACTTGACGGTCAAGCAAGGGGCATGAGGGTGGACGCCATACCATGTACTCCTTAGACTTTAATATATGAATTTTACTCCTCACAAGCATCACCCATGTCATTCATTATGTCATTTACTAAGCAGAATTTGAGCCCAACAGAAATCTAGAACACCAAGCATTAGTCTCAGCTGCGGCTAATGAGGGTCCGGCCCCCAAAACTGGCTTGCCCACTCACACACCACCAGTCTGCCAGTGTCCCACTCTTCCTGTCAATTGCGGAAGTAGCTCCTCCATTTCTCTGCTTGGCTGGCCACTCAGCAGCCATGCGGAGAGACTCATCATCCTGCTCCCTGCCAGGAGTGGCCAGCTGAGCAGGGAGATGGAGGAGCTACGTCTGTGATTGGTGGGAATAGAGGAATGCTGTTGGTGTGGTGAGGGGATGCTTCTGGGAGCCGGAACTGCATTAGTTGCATCTGGGACCAAGATATTTGTATTCATAAAAAGGTAAAGGTTCCTCTTGACAATTTGTCCAGTCATGTCCAACTCTAGGGGGGCGGTGCTCATTTCTATCCAACCCATAGAGCTAGCGTTTTGTCCATAGATAATCCTCCGTGGTCACGTGGGCACCGTGACTAGACACGGAACACCGTTTACCTTCCCACCGAGGAGTTACCTATTTATCTACTCGCATTTTGCATGCTTTCTAACAACTAGGTTGGCAGGAGCTGGGACAAGTGACGGGCGTCCCTCCGTTGTGTGGATTCAATCTTACGACAGCTGGTCTTCTGACCTTGCAGCACAGAGGCTTCTGCGGTTTAACCCGCAGCGCCACCACGTCCCCTATTTGTATCCATAAACAAATACAAATATCCCCAGCTCTACTCACAACCCTACAGTGTTCAAAATTCCAATAAACAGCTAGTTTCAATTTTTCACCTTACTAACTAAGTGCACACATTGAAGTTAAAATCTTAAGTTGAGGATCTGCATACTAGCCTTCTCTAAATTTCTCCCCTCCCAAATTTAAGTTCTTATGATCGGATACACAAATTTGAGTGCCCTGTTCTCCCAGATAGTGCTGCTTTTGACACTGAAGGCAACCCATCCAGAAGCTGAAGCACTTCACAAAAGAAGAGCTGATTAAAGAACAGACATTGGGATGGATCTAAGAAGTCTAATAAAAGGGAGCAAAACAGAACTGGGCAGGTAGCAGTTTGTAACAGAGGTGGGCAGGGAAGCAGCATGAAAGTCAAAACAGAATAGCAGATAGCTAAATGAAGGGACCATTTATAGGCAAACATAATACTTGGCTCCAAGCTCTGGAAAATACAGCATGCAAAAGGACAACGAACTCTACCCAGCCACAAGGACCGGGGATCACTACACACAAAAAACCAGCTAATGACACCCATCAATCACAGTGACAGATAATATCTCCTCCTGATCACAGCAATACACCAACAACAAGACACACTAATCACCCATCTCCTGAAAAGGACAAAAGCCTATCTCACAGCCATAAATACTCCACTCCCAAGCAAACTACACCAGAGCACAGAGTGCTGTCCACTGAAGATCCCGGCCACAGAGACCGGCAAAACGTTAGGAAGAACAATCTTCAGAACACGGCCAAAGAGCCCGAAAAACCCACAATAACCATTAGATCCTGGTCGTGAAATCCTTCATGAATGCATTAAACATAATACCCTTAGATGGGAGTACCATGCTAGAAATCCAAAGAGCACATCAGAAGGACAGGACCCAGACTTTTCACAGGGCTGGGAAGAACTGCAGGCCAGCAGACCTGGGGGGTGGAGTTTCCACTCAGGTCCAACAGCTAATCATAAAACAGGGAGGAGGTCAGGCCCATCCTCAGTTTGTGTTCAATAGCATTTCTCCTCCCCCACTAACCGTATTTGCTGTTATTTTCAGCTGAATGTTTAATCGCCTCAGCATGTTAACAGTTGGTTACTTACTGGTGTTGGTTACTGGGTTACTTTTTATCTCTGTCACAGCTTTATTGGTGGTTTCACACATTGGGATGGATCCGGGGTGGCTGGAGGATAGCAGGAGGGGGCCAACAGGTCTTGGTTGGTGTGGAATCCCTTTAAGGGAGCAAAGGGTGGGTCCATGGACTGCCCAAGCTCAAGGGGCGGGCGTTTGCCCAGGCCCCTGGGTAGCAGGGAGCCATGGACTGGCATTCACCCATGTGGTCTGTCATTCTGAGTGGTCTCTCAGAGGGAAAATGATGGCTTACGTTGGGTAGGATTGGGTCTTCTGAAGAACTGGACCCAGTCCTAATGCTTTGTAATCAATGAAGTTGTGGCCTTTTCCTTTCGGTCAATGCGCATGGTGTGCTTATTCATAGGAGATTGACAAAAAGAGTTTAAGTCCTTTGAATGAACTGTGATGATCAATTCATGAAAAGACAGCTTGTTGGACACGGGGCAGACATAGGATAACCAGCGGTGGTTGGAAGAGTTGGATTTGTCACATAACGTTCGTTGAGCTTATGAAAGTAGAGGCAAAAGGAAAGTAGATCTCCAACGTTAGTTCAGGTTTATTCTAAAACTAAACCTGGTCCTAAAGTCTCATTAAGAGAGTCCATGGCTTTTTTAAAACCCAAAAGGGACATGGATTTTTAAATGTAAGTTCATATAGGACATATGTTCTACTTACAAATACAGTTACTTATGTTTTCAGACGTGTTGATTTCTTTTATTGCAAGACCTGATTCGTTCCTTCTTAACTCACCTTACCAATTAAAGAATAGAGAGCTGCTTTTCTGCTCCATATAATACAGCGATGTGTTTCTGCACCAGTTCTGACACTGTTAGCAGGTTAGCCTGGTACAGAGAATGAATTAATCGGCTGAGATGAATCCTCAAAAGTGTAATAAAAAGAATTAAACAAGAAAAGAGATGTTTTCATTATGCAACGCTATGTTATGCTATGTTATGTGCCATGAAGTGGGAATTGATTTACAGAAACCCTTGCAGGGTTTTCAATGTAAGGGAGATATTTAAGGAGTGGTTTTTACCAGTTCCACTACCCATCAAATGAGTGTCTGTGGCTGAGTGGAAATTTGAACCCAAGCCTTCTGATCCCTAGTCCATCACTCTGTCTACTACACCACTGATTCTTAACCTTGGGTTACTCAGGAGTTTTGGACTGCAACTCCCAGAAGCCTCCACCACCAGCTGTGCTGACTGGGGTTTCTGGGAGTTGCAGTTCAAAAGCATCTGAGTAACAAAGGTTAAGAACCACTGTACTACACCACACTGTATTATGTCTTCTTTAGCTCAGAATATATATATATTTGGAGTTCCATATATATATTCGATTACAACACCCTAAATCTCATAGCCAGCATGTCCATTAGACTCATGTTGAAAAAAAGTAACTTTTCCAATTTCTTTTCATTTTTTTAATCTGAGATATCTAAATATTCTGAGCTAAGTTCCTGTATATTTGGAGTTCCATATATATATTTGGAGTTCCATATATATATATTCTCCAATATATATATATTCAAATACAACACCCTGAATCTCACAGCCAGCATGTCCTTTAGACTCATGTTATAAAAAAGTAACTTGTAAAAAAAGTAACTTTCCCCATTTCTTTTCATATCTGTTTCTATCTGAAATATCTAAATTGTTATCATGCTTCTATCTTGGTATATACATTTTTGTTCCTCTCTGTTTGTTGGAATTCCTCAGAGACTCCAGAAGCAGAAGACGTGACCATAGTTATTTTGATAATTACAAGATAGATAACCATGGACTCAGGCATGATTTCTCTTTACTGTTGCTGAAGAAAATATACTGTTCACATCTGAGCAGAAATTATTGAGAGCCAGCTATACATATCAATAAGAAAATGTGCACCTTTTTTTTTCTTGAGAGCAAGAGCAGACATTAGAACAACAACCAATTAATACTGACAGGAAAAAGAAACTTTTTCCAGGCCTCTAGTTTCATATCTATCTATCTATCTATCTATCTATCTATCTATCTATCTATCTATCTATCTATCTATCTATCTGTCTATCTATCTTATTCAAAGATTACAAAGCACGCCAAGTTTTTAATGCTACCAGATTTCAGAACAGAAAGGGAAAGATCAATCAATCAATGGAGTTCCAAAACACCAGGAATTGACTTTTATGTATTGTAGACTCAGAAAGACTGCATCTTTCCTTTCAGTTAGATAAAAATAAAACAATTCCTTTCCAATCTTTCAAATATCCTTGACATGATTCATGACCAAGGACCCACTCTAGAATCAAAACATGAAACACTTAAGATGAATTGCAGTAGGATCCAAAACTTTATTTACATTTTATTCAATATATTTGTAACAGAAATGATTTTTTCATTACCAAGCTCCTTCTCAGTACTACCTAACTGTGATAGCTACAAAAATATAATGCTTTCCATGATGTAAGAAGGTTAGCCAGCCAGTCATTGATCAGTATAACTGATATGGGGCTACGGCATGGAATCCACTTTGATATAATTCTTGGTGAAATACCTAGACATAACTATTTATACTTTCACAGAGAGGCTATGATGAGCTATTTGGGGCACATGCTGTACAGCACTCAAGATTAAAAAGGAATTGGCACTAGCCTGAATTAAGACTGCAACGCATGACATGCAATGTCCTTTTGCTGTACAACACCACCAACGTCAAATGAGCGAAAGGTTAACAAGTTCCTGATTACACTCCCACAATGCCCAGGCTTGATGGCTGGGGATGCAAAGGTATGGAAGTTCTACAGGTAACATTCACAAATGTCAGTCAAGAGGTGCAAAGGAAATAGTCTATGATTGAACCTGGGGCATGGCTAAGTTAATACTTCTTGGGAGCCTGAATTAAATTATTGCTAGATGTGAAATGCAATCAAACACCATTGTCCCTTTATTTTAGAGCATTGGGGCCCAACCTTAGGTCCCCAGATGTTCTTGGACTAAAACTCCCAGAAGCCTTCACCAGTAGCTGTGCTAGCCAGGAGTTCTGGGAGTTTATTTGATTTATTTATTTGATTTTTACCCCGCCCCTCTAGACCATGTCTACTCGGGGCGGCTTACAAAATAAAACAGAACAGTATAAAAATATATAAAATCATAAAATTACAATTACAATTTCAATTTAAAACAATTAATTTAAAGAGAGGATTACCAAGATGGAATAGCAAAGAAAAGAAAAAAGGAGAAAGACTTAATTGACTGGAGGGAAGGCCTTCTTGAATAACCAAGTTTTTAACTGGCTTTTAAAAACACCCAGCGAGGGTGCTAGCCGAATTTCTGTTGGGAGGGCATTCCACAGCCGAGGGGCCACCGCCGAGAAGGCCCGGTTTCTTGTTTTTTCCTTCCGGGCCTCTCTCGGCGTCAGCAGTTATCCCTCTTCTATTGAGACATATCGTAAATATGATGAATTATTTGTCATTCTCTCTCAGCTATTTAGCTTCCATTAGTCCAAGCAAGCTGTATGGCATGACTTAGGTAAATTCCAGGACTGATAATAGGCCCAAAAGAGTATTGGCTTCATATGTGCAGAACTGAAGCTAAATAAATCTCTTTTTGTCCTTTATTATAAGCTGCCCATGCTTATTCAATTCTGGGCGCACCAAGATGATAAAACATTTGGGAAAGAAAATACAGCCCAGCAAACCTCCACTGGAGGCTAAAATGGAAAATACCTCCACAGCTACTGTGTATTTTCCCTTGGTGCTCAAGTATGTTGGAACAAAGGACAGCCAAACGCAGCAGAAGACCAACATGCTGAAGGTGATGAATTTGGCTTCATTAAAACTGCTGGGTAGCTTCCTGGCAAGAAAAGCCATCGTGAAACTGATAATGGCTAGCAGACCCATAAAGCCCAAGACACAGTAGAGCATGATGGCTGATCCTTCATTGCATTCTAGTACAATTCCTTCAATCATTGAGTGCATATCGACATCCGGGAAAGGTGGAGACGTTGCCAACCACACGATGCAAATCGTTGCTTGAATCACGGAGCATGAAGAAACGATGAAGCTGCTCAGCCTTTTCCCCACCCACTTCCTCATCTTGGACCCTGGGATGGTGGCCAAGAATGCCAGAATCACTACGACAGTCTTGGCTAATATGCATGATAAAGCCATGGAGAAGATGACAGCAAAAGCAGTGTGTCGAAGAAAACAGGTCAGTTTCCGAGGCTGGCCAATGAATAGCAAGGTGCAAAGGAAGGAGAGCAGAAGAAC